TATCATGTTAATTAGCATTGGTATCGAAGGCTTGATTTAAATTTAATATTAATTTTTGGAGTTATCCTTCCTGGCTGATCATCAGATATCCTTAAACAGAATACGCAACTGAAAATTTGTTGTGAATCATGGAAAGAATTTTTTCAAAATGTCGTACATTTGATAGATATAAAAAGGTCTAACTATCCATGAATGCGAATTTCAGTTGCGTATTCTGTTTAATAAAAAAGTTTTAAAATCATACAGTTTGATCATTGTACATGTATGCCTTTAAGATGAATTTGAAGAATCCTTTCAATCCATTGATTCACAACAAATTAAGTCTCTTGAAGTGAACAGGTTTATTTAGTCATGGCGGCCTACTTTGAAGAAAAATAAATTACATCTATGTTATCGGGACTTATGACCTGCAGGGGAATAAATTCTTTTTTAGCTGGAATTGCGAACATGGTGTGAACGTGTGTTCTGATAAAGACTGCTTAATCTTGAGATGCAAACTTGATAAATGGTTTCACGGTAATTTGTATCACAACACCCCTGGGGAGATTTTACCATTCAGAATCAAACATCCATGTAATACGGTTTGACCGTGGATAGTTCAAACAAACTCTTAACAGATCAATTTTCTTACATTCTAGATTTTCTTTATCATGCATTTCCAGGTGGGACTGTTTTGACTGAATAATATATAAAGAAAGATCGGTACTATTTAATGTCTTCTCCAAACCATCTTTGATAACCAGTTCATACTTTACATAATGCCACAATAAAAAAAGTTATCTTTCTCCCGCGTCGTTGGTGATTCTCGAGGTTACTTTCGCTTTGCCATTCTGTCGGGATGCCTGGTCACGATTGCACGTTCCTCACGCGCCTTGACCCCCACAGGTGCTTCTGTCCCCTCTGTCAGCTTCCGATGAAGGACCCCGTCATCATTTCGTCGTGTGGACACAGATTTTGTGACGTTTGTCTTCAAGAATACTTCAGGTGAGAGAAAAAGTTTTTTTCTATATTTAGAAGATTTCAGATTAAATCAGCTGTTCTTATTTTATCTATGTCAAGGTATTTCCAGGTGTACACATTGTGTCCTATTTAAGAAAATGATGTGATGTTCTGAATGTTAAAATTGGTGTTGTTTAAAATGAAAGGAAATTTGAGAGAGCAGAGGAGATTGTTTTTAAATCTATTTTGGTAAGATGACTTGATTATGCTAATAAACAATGTTATTTTGCACTTTTTTGGTAAGTAAAAAATAAGATTAGATGACGGCTTAAAATACACATGGTATAAAAGATCTTTTTTGAGTTGAAATCTTTATTTACAAAAAGATAAAAGAATGAGAGGCAGAAAACATTTCAAGTACATGTAAGTTAATATTAATTGAATTATTTGCTGTATGTATTCAATTTTTTACTGCATTCAATTGTTTTGTTAGAATGGTTATAAATCAGTTGATTACTCTGTATAATCTACGTACTTCTATGTACCATAGCCACCTATTATTGGTCTCCTAGGTGTGTAAGATATGGGTTTTTGCTTTCAGAATTATTACAATAAAATATTAATATCATATTGATTGGGGGCTCTGTAATTTTTATCGCCACTTAATGGTGTGTGATGAATGCTGGACATTAATTCAATATAAACAGGGCAGGTGCCTGAATATGATACACAAATTACCTTAATTGATTCACGACTCTAGGTGGACCACTCAATAAACTGCCCACAGCAATGGACTTTTTATACTGCTATTTATTAGTGATAAAACGAGCACCTGCAAATCAATACCAAACCAACAAAATGTCATCCCCACTTATGATAGAAAAAGCGATAATTATCTGATTTTTAAGATTTTGTTTTCTTTTGTGGTCACATAAAAGCATTATATGAAGAAAATATCTTTCACAGGTTTGTTCTTTTCTCTCTTTGTTAGGGATGTGTAAAGAGACACACAATTTGTTTAAATACACCCATCAGAGTGTGATCTAAAATTTTTGAAAGAAAACATATAATTTAAGTGTAAACAAAACATTTCCTCCCTTTTATCTGTGTGAAAGGTGATCTAATATGGAGCCAGTTTGTCAAGACATGGTGATCTTCGAGCTAACATGGTGAGATTTTGAGGGGTACAGTTTCCTGTTTATTTTGGGGTGTGTTGTGGGTGTTTAGTGATTGAATTAGAAATATCTTCAATCTGTGCATGGTCAACCATTCCTGATCCTTTGGAATTACAGTATCATTGATTTAATGCGCAGGAAGTCCTTTCAGGTATTGACAGAACAGCTATTTAAATACTGGTTTTTAGCATGACATTTGAGAGTTTTTTTGAGCCAGTTAGGTAAAATTAGTCTAAAAATTATCCATTTTTGTTAAGAGCACAACTCTGAACCATTTGTGATTTAAAAAGAAAGAAAATTAAGCCTAGTAAATATGATTCAAGTTCAAGGAAAATAAATTATCTAATTATTGAAATTGAATGACACTTTGTAGAAGTATATAAATTACTTTAATTCAATGAGGCCTATTTGCATATTTAATTTGATACAGATCAAAAAAGATTTTCTTTTTTCCTCAAATACCTGTAGGTAATTTTTTTGCATTAATTTTCATTTATTTTATTCCCTGCTTCATCCACCCACTAAAAATCATATTGTTTATCTTAAAAGCTCCCCATATAAGTTACTTTGAATTTTTCTGTTATCAATTAAGTGTGAAAATACAGATCAATGGCAGATGTCTTTGATAAGTTATCTCCATATCTTAACATGTTTTATCCCCAGGGGGCATACAGATAATGAAATATGAAGCATATGCACAAGTAAATATCAACAAATTGGCCAATAATTAATCTGTAACAACTTATTTCTTAATGTATTGGACTAACTGAACACAGAGCTGAGGCTATTCAGGTAAATCATTGAATCCTTGTGGAGATTATAACATTTTTGCAGTTTGTTAATTTGTTTGTAAGCGACATGTATTTTTACCTTCAACCATTAAAATATGACTACCGGGGTATATAACTTCTCAGCTGATAAGGGGTGTGTGGGTGAATTGAAGGAAGCCTGCATTGTTTATGGTGTCCCAGCTGTGCCTTTTGTTTTATGTATTTATGGAACCTATAATAAAGGAAAACATTATCTTAACTTAGGGTGCTTGTACATAGTAAAGATTTATGTGATGGCATAAAATCTTTTAAGTATAAGAAATAAGATATTGAGTATTTTGTAATGGTTTGGACCATGGATATCAGCCTCTGAGTAGAGCACCTGACTAGTGATGCAGGGGTCCCGGGTTCGATTCCTGGTCCAGCCTTACATTTCTCCTTTCCTGTTACAATTTTAACATAGAACAACCAAGCTAACACCCCTTAGCTCCTATGTAGATTGGCATTAACTTGAATTTTGCAGTCTTGGGACAAAAATCAATTTTTCTAAATAATAAAGACCCAGTTCCAATTGATCCTAGCTGTTGTCACTTGAAGAAGATCAGAGGCCTGGGGGGAAAAAGGCGTGAAAGATAAAAAAAAAAAAGTTGACAGCAATATTGATATTTTTTATGTATCCTTATCATAGAAAATTAATGATTTGATTGTGTGGCTGTAAAGATTCTTTTATTTGACAAATCAGAAAGGAACACACTGTGTCTCATTTATTGATGATTTCAGAGGAAAGATAAGAGAGAGCCATACTGGTTTGGATAAGTGTCCATTAATTAATTTATTGTATGTGTGATTCCAATACTTATTGCACTGTCTGTTCTTTTGGGAAATCATGCTGATACTGTAGCCAGTATAGCCTCAAAAGGAATTTTTATAAAGTAAGCAATGTAATTACATAATGCAATGTAAATCTACATGCAACTTGATCACAAAATTTCTTAATAGGTGGGTTTTCTGTCCTATTCAGATCAAACTACAAAACTGGTTATCTGTAAATTCCATCTGGCAGGTGAAATGGCAGGCTTTGCTATTTAGCAATTCATATTTGGATAGCAGGTGATAAGACAATAAGATGTATTACAGAATTTTAAGGAGAGAGATGTTTGTATGGAATTAAGTGGTGCTGTTTTGTTTAACACGGGGAGGATATTGACACAAATAAAGTTAGCACCTGCCCCCCAACTTAAAACTGTAAATAATCTCTGAAAAGATCAAACAAATATTTTCAAAATGAACCCAATCTGCCTCCAAAATTTTATAATTTTCCTCACATTCCAGTCCATTTTTTGTAGTTATTGTTCCCCTTTGTTATGTTTGGTCTGACCGCGGCCTGAACGCGTGCCGATGTCCTGCGAATTACGGTATCCCAACAAAACACCCTTTATGGTCAATTGAGGCAAAAGTTCAAAATAAGCGTGAAGATTTAAACGCTGGCAGCTGGGTCGTGTGCCTCCTGGAGGATTAAACCAATCAAAACCACAGTGTTTTGTCACCTAGTGTTGATCCCCATCTGTCAGATTTTTGGGGAGAAATCTAGTTATTTTTGTCCTTTCTGGGGTTATTCGAACTTGGCTTGTGTAGGAAAATGGGTGTAGAGGAAATTTCTCCCCAGGGCCAGAAGAATGATTTGTACAGGGCTAGCCTTAAACTTCTGCAACACATCAAACAGTAAGATATTCTTATTATTACAGCAACTTCTTAAGGATTTAGAATTATACATGTGTAATTCCATGTATGAAAGCCAAAATTATATATTTGTTGCAAAGCTTAAATTAAAAAAAAAGTTAAAACATTGAAGTTTCTGATATATTATTGAATTAAAATAATTTATGCCTAAAGTTTGATAATATCTGAGCTTAAAAATGAAATGAAATTATTGGATCACTATCTTCAAAATATAAGATTGGGTGTCAATAAACTTGTCAGATATGTAATCAGTTGTGTAACTGCTTATACATTTGAGTGTAATAATATCTGCTGTGTTTTAAACTGCGCATGTGGACAGGGAAGCCTCTGTCTTCCTGCTTCAGGCCAGTGTAAGTGCGTTTCTGTGTCCAGTGTCACTTAAATACATGATTAGATATCAATTAACAGCTGATTATTAATAACGCTGTCAGCCGAGGTGAGATATGGAAGTAATATTCCCCCTCCATAATGACGACGAGCATCTGTGCAACTGAGAATAAAAAACAAGATTGGATGTGATCAATATTTTATGCCTCTCAGATAAAAATCTCAAAGTGTGGATCAATACACAACGTGTGGTTGATTTCAGTGGCTGCATGGGTCCATTTCCTGGGTGGAATTAACTGTGTTTTATGGGCTATCCAGTTCAGTATAATTTTCACAGCAAGGAGCCAGGGGCTAAGTCGTGGTCAGAGGTTGGACCTTTCTCTCATGAATAGCGGAACAAAGGGGATTTTTTGTAGTCTGTAACCACTAATTAATGTCTTGACAGGGGATCTTTAATTCAGGGATTCAGTGGGTGTGTGCTGATATTGCAAGGTGACTTTTAAACTCAAGAGAGTAAAGGATTTTTATGATGGAGTTGTTGATTTTTAATCCATGGTGAATGTGGTATTTAGATAGTTTTGTTGCATGATTATTAATTATATTTGCTGTCCATGTGTCAGGTTTTATGATATCAAAATGTGTATGATTATCATTTTTCGCTATTTGATGGGTGTTCAATGTTTAGGAAAAATTTTTGGTTTGGAAAATTTTAATACTTTTTTTGCTTTTATTTGTAACAAAAGAGCGTTTTCATGTATAATTTCAGAGTTTTCGGTGCTCATTGTAGTGTAGGACAATTGCTACCAACATAAATTGCTTTTCCTTGGCTTCTAGTCAAGGTTCCTGATCTAATTACAGGTTTCTTTACTCTAATGTTTATTTTTTTCACATATTACATCTTGGATAAAGTTTGATTTTTAGTACGTAGACCCCTATACAGAAAACTTCATTTTAGAAACATCCAGATGTGCAGTTTTATTTGTATTATTAGGTCACCTGAGTTTACTCAGGTGACCTATTGCTATCCGTTTTCGTCCGTCGTCGTCCGTCGTGTGTCGTGTGTTGTGTGTCGTGTGTCGTGTGTTAACATTTGAACATTTTCAGCTTCTTCTCTGCAACCACTGAACCAATTTCAACCAAATTTGGCACAAAGCATCTATGGGTGAAGGGGAACAAAAATTGTGAATTTCATGATCCCTGCCCCCCCCTGGGGCCTGAGGGGTGGGGCCAAAACCACTAAAATTTATGCAATCTTTAAAAATCTTCTTCTTTACTCCTGGACATCAAGCAGTCAAACTATTTGCATGATTGTAATCAGCATTGAGTCCTCTACCAAAATTGTGAAATTCATGGCCCTGGGGTCAGGGGTTCTAGTGCTAGGGCGGGGCTAAATAAGTAGGTAGTGAAAATGCATTATTTCTTTGAAAATCTTCTTCTCTGCTCCTGGGTATTAAATAAACCAACTAAGTACATAGTTATGATGAGCAAGAGTGCCTCTACCAAAATTGTGAATTTTATGGCCCCAGGGTCAAGGGTTCTGGTGTGGGGGGGGGGGGGTGGCTCTATTGATTATATAGTGAAATTACATGAATTCTTTGAAAATCTTCTTCTCTGCTCCTAGGTATTAAATAAACTAAGTAAGTGCATAGTTATGATGAGCAAGAGTGCCTCTACAAAAATTGTGAATTTTATGGCCCCAGCATCAATGGTTCTGGTGGGGGGGGGGGGGGGGGCTTTATTGTTTATAAAGTGAAAATACATGAATTCTTTGATTCTTTGAAAATCTTCTTCTCTGCTCCTAGGTATTAAATAAACTAACTAAGTACATAGTTATGATAAGCAAGTGTTCCTCAACCAAGATTGTGAATTTTATGGCCCCAGGGTCAAGGGTTCTGGTGTGTGTGTGGGGGTGGGGGGGGGGGGCTCTATTGATTATATAGTGAAAATATGTGAATTCCTTGAAAATCTTCTCTGCTCCTAGGTATTATATAAACTAACTAAGTGCATAGTTATGATGAGCAAGCGTGCTTCAACCAAAATTGTGAATTTAATGGCCCTATCATCAAGGGTTCTGGTGTTGGGGGGGGGGCTCTATTGATTATATAGTGAAATTACATGAATTCTTTGAAAATCTTCTTCTCTGCTCCTAGGTATTAAATAAATTAACTAAGTGCATAGTGATGATGAGCAAGAGTGCCTCAACCAAAATTGTGAATTTTATGGCCCCAGGGTCAAGGGTTCTGGTGTTGGGGGGGGGGGCTCTATTGATTATATATGGTGAAAATACATGAATTCTTTGAAAATCTTTTTCTCTGCTCTTAGGTATTAGATAAACTAAGTAAGTGCATAGTTATGATGAGCAAGAATGCCTCTTCTAAAATTATGAATTTCATTGCCCTAGGGTCTGGGGTTCTGGTGTTAGGGTGGGGCTCTATTGATTATATAGTGAAAATACATTAAATCTTTGAAAATTTTCTTCTCTGTCTCTGGGTATGAAGCAGATGAACTACCTATATAGTTATGATGAGCAAAGGCCCTAATCTTGCAGAATTGTGAATTTCAAGGCCCCAGTGTCAGGGGTGGGAGCTCTACTTATATACTGAAAATGAATTAATTGTTTGAAATCTGGTCCTTTGTATTTATAAAACATTTATTTACTTTTTGATAGGCAATTTTAAGGGTGCCTTTTAAAAATTTGTGCAACCTAGGGACTGGGGTTTATGTCAGAGTGTTAGGGGTACTACTGATTATTGATGAATATTACTGATTAGTTGGAGTGCATTTTTGTTCCCCTACCCTGCGTATGGGTATTCAGTAACCAAGCTAAGCAACTGCTAAGTTTATTGTTATGATGATCAATGGTGCCCTTTCAAAATTGTGAGTGCCATATAGCATCTGGCTTAAAACATGAATCAAATTCAATACACTGTAACTGGAAAGTTGTTGCATAATGCTCAGGTGACCTATAAGGCCCGTGGGCCTCTTGTCATATTTAATATAATGAATGACTTGGCAACAGACTGCAATTAAGTGTTAGCTACATTTCTCTTTAGATTACAAAAAAATCAATGGATAGATTTGCCTAAGAGAGTAATGAAAAGCAATTAAAACTGTCTCAAACTCTTTATGATATTTGAATAACTCGCTAAATTTGGAATGATCTTATTTTCTGGATCAATACGATTTCTTTATTTAGCCTAAATCTTCCATTTACGGATGATTCATTCCAACCTTTAGGAGGAAAGTGATTTAACAACATTTATATCAAGATGTCATTAAAAGTGGAGGCTGTTTGGTTTTTGATATTGGTCAAACATTAATATTACGTCGACTAAGGTAGTCAGAAGGAATCCATTGGTTTGTTTAGAATGGCTGAACACTTTAATGTTTTACACTTTGGCTGCTCTAAATTGTTCTCTTTGTTTGTTATAAGTAAGGTTTCTTTGTGGAATGTTGTCTCTTTAAATGGATTTGGTTTGCTAACACGCACAGCTTAGACAATCTGCTGGCACTTTGAAAGTATATGTTACAAATATTGATTAACTTTATTCCAAAGATGTACTGTTAATGTGCATTTTTGTTGTTGTAGTATCCTTTATAATGTGTATTTTGTCATAGAAGAGGTGGAGAATCCACTTATAATAAGTATTTTTTGTTATTGTAGTGGTGGAGTTTCCAAATGTCCAGAGGATGACACGCCTTTGGATTATGCACAGGTGAGACTTCATTCTGACTTTTTACAGGTAAATATCTTACTGATCCCTGATTTAGAGCAATCAGATTCATCAGGACATAATGGACTTTGCTTCCTGTCCCACTGAGGCTAAATAAAGGCCGAAGGAGGTCAATTACATTGACACATGCTGAGGCCATATCCATGTCTTTGTGCATTCTCCACACATCAAGGCAAATGGTGCCATTTCAAGGAGCCAGATGAAGGAAGCAATTCCAATATCTCATTGCTGCTTCTGCTTGTCCAACACTGTCATTAAGGAATTGGGGTTATTGAGTGTAATATTGGGCCGCTTTAATGAGATCAGCATTAGAATCCATTACCGTGATTGCTGATTTATAATCTTTACAGCTCGGTGCATACACTCGGGGATTTTTGTTTATTAAAAAGGACTTTAAATCAATACATGCTTGTGTCTCCAGCATAATCTGGACCAAACATCATGGAGTTTGGATCTGGAAATCTGCACTTTGTCCTGCTCTGAAGTGGCTTGTGGGGGTTGATTATGGAGATAAGAATCTAATTGGAGGCTTATTTTACTGATTAGTCACTGGCTGGTCCAGGATCTACTGTTAATTCTCATCCATCATTTATCTGTCCATATGATGGAAGCTTGACCTGATCATGCTGATAGGCTTAGTTTTAGCTTAGATGATGAACTGGACATAATTTTGACAGAATTTCTATGAAGTTTAAGGTAAGAAAAAGGGTTTTTCAACAGTGCATGCTTTTAACATCATAGTTTTTACTTATGACAATATCTAGTCTGTCATTTGTCAAATTGATTGTGAACTGACCTAGGGCAGTGCTGAGTCATGCCACCTTGTTATGTTATGATAGGATATCTGTTGATGCCCCAACAAGAACTGACAATTCTGGGCTTATCTATACAATATACCTATATTTGTTAAGACCAGACAATTAGAGAGATGGTCACTTCTGATAGTGGGTAATCATGGATGGACATACATGCTGCTTAGCTGGGAGTAAATCATTTTGAGTGGTCAGGATAGATTATGTCATAAGGAGAAGTTGAAAGGACGACCCTACAGATAAACGGACTGATAATGTGCCAGCCCACCAGCATTATAGACCATAAAACATCATTACAGACCCTCATCAAAGGTCAAGAGAGGAGAGGGGACAAACTAGCAGGTACATGTTAAAAGTAACACTGGCACTCTGACAATGTGGGGACAGGGTTTTGGAGCAGGCCTGTAAATTGGAGAGTGTAAATGGAGGGGATTCTGAGTGATGAGGTAATTATGGCTCCCTTGATTAAATTCCTGCTTTTACCAAAGGACATTTTTTATTTAAGAAAAACATGAAATATTGAGGTTAAAAACTGTTGGCATGATTCTTGACAGGTATTTTGGTGTAAATCTCTTCTATACATCTCATAATTTCGATCAAGGGATCATTGAATGCTAAACCATAATGGCTGTTCAATGAAAATAGCAAATCTTGGTGATTTCTCAGTTTAAAACTATATAAAGTGTCAAATGATAAAGTAAGCTGCGATTTTCATGTAAAATTTTATTACCTCTTTGGGCAGTGAACACTAGAGTGGGAAGAATTAAGGTATAGAGTGATTTGTGTTTCTGCCGTACAAGTAAGAGATACAGATAATCATGTAGTACATGACAAAGAATCGATTTTACAACAGATAAATTACAATCAGTTTCAAATACATAAGTACTCTAAATTTTATGATTTCCTCTTGTTCATCTTTTTGAAATATAATAGCATCCAGTATACTAATTGAATAAAATGTTATGCCTCACTTTTATAAGTTTCTGTTGCATGAATTCTTAAAAAATTACCTTGATTGAGAAATTTTATAGCTATGCAGGCAATAAAACGGGGGTTTGAATTTCTTTGGTGTCTAGAGTTTAAAAAAGCAGGAAATTTTCATTAGATGCAAGTTAATTGTTTCCTCAACATCTTTGTGTGCATGAATATTTCAAGTGGGACTTTCTATGCATATGGAAGTAAAAATGTTTTCTGTAAGTGGAAGGAAAAAGGTAGGCAGCAAACATTATAGAGTTTTGACGGAGGATTTATTTATCTGTAGCGTTATCTGTCAAAGGATGATATGAGCCCAAACGGAAAAGATTTTAAACAAACTACTATTAAACCATCAACAAACTATATTTTTGTGGTTTGTTAAAGTAGTTTGATAGTATAGCATTTAATGAAACACAAACAAACCACTGTTTCTAAAAATAAGTAAAGTGGTTTGTTAGTCTTTCATTTCTGATGATTGTGATTTCTTTATAGTTTGTTAGACTTGGTATCTTGCAACAGTGTTTTATTAGTATAGCATTTGAATCTAACCACATGGGAAATTACTTTACAGACATGTTTTGGGTTGAATTATCTAGAATTGTAGAAGTTTCCAAGAACAGCTTAATCTTTACATCCGGTGTTAGCAATTTGCGCCAATTTTCAAACCACCAAACAGGTCAGAAACAAAGGAACTGGTGAAGGGACATGCAAATTGTTAGTATCATTGATTCTATAAGATCTTTGACTGGAAAAAGCAGCAACTAACATTATTAGAAGATGGATCTGGATACAGAAGAGGTATTTAATGCATGTCATGAAGTTCCTTTTTACCAAAATTAAGGCTGGACTACAGTAACCTTCTGTGAATGTGGATGTGTATGTTTTTTATTAGCTTCTGGTTTTTATTTATTTTCAGATTGACCTATAATTCCTATACTAGTTTAGATCAGTTATGCATTGGATTATGGGAAAGCTTGAAGAACATTTTTTTGGTGAAAAATACTATGAAGATGTGCACAACATGAAAGAGAATATGTGAAAAGTACACGGACGTTGACTTGAAATTGTATCTCCTAAACAAAACATGTTGGATTGTTGCACTTGCATTGGCTAAACTTGTCAATCCTGGAATTTATTATACTCTGAAACAAGACTTGTTGAATACTAGTATTTCAAAATGTGACTGTTTTAGGCGTTTTCAAAGACCTGTGAATTTGTAAAGGAAAATTCAAATTTAGTGTTTTGCTGATGGATTTGTTACCAGTGATTTGTTAGTAGTTTGTTAGAGTGGTTTGATAGTAGTTTGTTAGAGTGGTTTGATAGTAGTTTGTTAGAATGGTTTGATAGTAGTTTGTTAGAGTAGTTTGATAGTAGTTTGTTAGAGTGGTTTGATAGTAGTTTGTTAGAGTGGTTTGATAGTAGTTTGTTAGAGTATAGTTTGTTAGCTCATTTGCATGTGATTTGCTATACTATTAAACTACTTTCAAACCATAGTGGTTTGTTAGTAATTTGTTATAGTAGTTTGTTTGCCCTTTTTTTCCGTATGGGAGAATGGCGACAGATGTTTGTCTCTCTCGGAAAAGTGCAGTCAATATTTTAACGTAATGGAGACGTAATCGTCAAAATTCATCGAAGTGGAAAAAATATCAATTTCGTTGATTTTCTAATGCAGTATATTATGTTTGACTGAAAATTTCTTGTTGGCCTTTGCATTATTTGGATTTGATTTCAGACCTATAGCTGTTTCTGCAGAGGGTATGTTGCTGCATTAAATGTATAGACCGCTATATATACATGTAATACTATAGCAGATTTAAAAGGATAAAATAGTGTTAATAGATGCAATTAATTTTCAGAAATACAAGAAAGATCCCGTCTTTAAATCGCCAAGTAGGTCTTAACTTATCGTATATCGGAGTATAGAATATGCTTGAGATTCAAGAGATTCTGACATTTAAAACTCTGTTTCATAATAGATGTAGACAAAGTTTAAAAAAATGACTTGCAATGGAATGACAATTGAAGAAAAACTTTTAACCAAGTCAACAGTCTTACAAAAGAAAATTTACAAAACTCTAAAAATAATTGTTAAGACGTACAGAAGTCTAGGTGGTATACATTGCTCCCCTGTAACAAAGCTGTGGTTTTGAGTACCAGGATAGATGTATCTATATAGCATGTCTGAAACATGTTGGTTGGCTGGGCTTTGTCATTAGCATCAAAAATTCATATGAGGACTCAGATTAAAAGCTGAGACTAAGTTAATCAGGTGTGGAACAACAAAGCTTTCATCCTCGTTATCCCTGATTTAAATAATTGATTAGTTGTTTTTGGATGCATGGATATCTTGTAAAATACTGTGAGGGATATATGATAGGAACTGGGACCTTGTTAATGATCTTGGAAGATACCTGTATTATACCAATATTGTCTACAGTTGCATTTAAATGGGAGTTGACTCATTTTACATGAAATACTCTCGAGAGAATGATTTTAAGTTGGAATTTATGGTGATGAGAATTTTTATGGACAAAACAGCAGTGAATTAGAGTATTGGGGGATGACATTTGGTGTGTGAGAAAGAATACTCACACACACACGATGAACCATTAAATGCAGGTAACATATGGAGGAATGGAATAGCATTGTGTATCCGGGACAGAGGGACTATAGCTATCTATATAATGTCGTTACAGATTTATCCCGATGAAGATCTGACAACAGAAGTCATGAACAGCCTCGTCAGATGTCGGAATTCTAAGGACGGATGTCGCTGGATAGGAAAACTCCAAATCCTACAGGTAAACAGTGAAAGAGGAAAATCAGAGAGGAAATAAGAAATAAATGGGAACACCTGTATAGGCAGGGTGAAATCAGTGTAAATATGCACAAAGAGAAAGAGATTTTAAAATTTAATGCTTAACAATTGAAAAAATGGTAAAAACTTGTGTCCTTGTACCGTAAGTGGATTGTTGAGAGTTAAAATAAAAGAGTTTACTTGCAGCTACTGGTTTAACTAATTTTTTGATTTTATTCAAATTTTTATTTAATAATTATGAGTATTAATGCAGAATCCATTATAAGTAATTACAGAGCAAAACTGTTTACAATTTTATAAATCTCCAGGTAGTGTTAATATTCTGTTAATTATTTATTCATTAAAGATGTTTGTCACAAACTGAGAGGAAATATTTGTCTATCATATTTCCTTATTTGATGTGGTTCATTTATTTTTGTTTTTCTAGGGTTTTAATATCACTGTTATCAAATTACCATGCAACACATTTTATAAATGTAACATATGTTAACTAAATATTGATGTTTTTCACATTTTGTAATACCATAGCATGAACGTGTCAGATATCTCTTCTCCTTTTACACTAATGTTCAGTGCATTATGTATAAAATTGACACCCATGTCTATTTTTAAATTTTTGAAAAGCTTCATTTTTAGCTCACCTGAGCCGAAGGCTCTAGTGAGCTTTTCTGATCACATTTTGTCCGTCGTCCGTCCGTCCGTCTGTCCGTCTGTCTGTCTGTCTGTAAACTTTTCACATTTTCGACTTCTTCTCAAGAACCACTGGGCCAATTTTGACCAAACTTGGTACAAAGCATCCTTGGGTAAAGGGGAATTTAAATTGTTAAAATGAAGGGCCCAGTCCCCTCACATGGGGAGATAATCAAGAAAAGACAAAAAAAAGGTGGGGTCATTAAAAAAATCTTCTTCTCAAGAACCACCGGGCCAGTAAAGCTGAAACTTATGTGGAAGCATTCTGGGGTAGTGTAGATTCTAAATTGCTCAAATCATGACCCCCAGGGGAAGGGCAGGGCCACAATGGGGCATCAAAGTTTTACATAGAAATATATAGGAAAAATCTTTGAAAATCTTCTTCTCAAGAACCACTGGGCCAGAAAAGCTGAAACTTATGTGGAAGCATCCTGGTATAGTGTAGATTCAAAATTGTTCAAATCATGACCCCCAGGGGAAGGGCGGGGCCACAATGGGGTATCAAAGTTTTACATAGAAATATATAGGAAAAATCTTTGAAAATCTTCTTCTCAAGAACCACTGGGCCAGAAAAGCTGAAACTTATGTGGAAGCATCCTGGTATAATGTAGATTCTAAATTGTTCAAATAATGACACCCGGGGGAAGGGCGGGGCCACAATGGGGAATGAAATATATAGGAAAAATCTTTGAAAATCTTCTTCTCAGGAACCACTGGGCCAAAAAAGCTGAAACATATGTGCCCATGGAAGGATCATGGGGTAGTGTAGATTTCAAAATGTCTAAATTATGATCAGTGGGGTAGGGTGGGGATGCATTATGTATAACAAGGGTGAAATCTGGTAAAGAACAGAATGGTCAAAGCTTCTCAGGTGAGCGATGTGGCCCATGGGCCTCTTGTTTAAATACATGTATTTGATTTTTCCCCATGAAATTCAAAACATATGCAGAGTGATGATCGATATATAGTGGTTGATATTTAATGCAAATTTCATTTAAAACCTATAAATTAATTGATAATTAAGATGATGTCATAATGGAGGCATGATCTTCTTTGTCATCTGTGTAAGATGTCAATGCTGATCTAATTTTAAAAATATTTTCAATAAACCAAAGTAAAATTAGGTTTCTATTAAAATTTATGAACACAAATAGTACAGATGAAATGTTATTTTGGTCAAGTTAAGGGGAATAACTCTAATGTAATATTTCTTTCTTTTTCTCCTCAGGCACATTTAGACGAATGCCAGTTTGATGCGGTGCCCTGCCCTCTAAGATGCGGGGCAGTTCTGTCACGTCTAGACTTAGAGGACCACCTAGAATTTACCTGCTGTAGAAGACAGGTGGTGTGTGAATACTGTGGAAAAAAGTTTCCTGGAGACGTTTACGAAAAGGTATAATCAAAGATGGAAACAATTTATCTTTATGCTGATTCTGTTACTTAAATCATTGATAGAAATATGAAATATGTATAATATTTATAAGACAAAAACTTATGCTTACAGCAACATTCTGGCCAGTGCATCTCAGAAGTCATGTGGTGTGAAAACAAATGTGGGGCCCGCCTAGAGCGGCGCTTTCTTGGAAACCACATGAGGAATGAGTGCCACAAAAGAACGGTCCACTGTCAGTTCTGCAGCAGGGAATTTGTACAGGAAACATTACAGGTATTGTACAGTAAACAGACTCTGGGCAAAATAGTGATTAACTTTTAATAAACTGTGTATTTATTATAATAGAGAGTATTTACAAAACAGAAGTAAAAAGTTTATTTTGGCATGTAATAGTCAATATGTTTCAAGATTGCAAAGGAAACTACTGCAGAAGTACTTTTTTCCGCGTGGTATTAATTTACGCTATGTACGCGGTCACAGAAAATCCGCGGAAATTTGTCCAAGCGTACTTAATATAAATGTAAGGCATATAGTGACAGTCAAGAAAATGTAATTTTCTACCCGTGGATTAAACATTACTTTACCTCGCGGAAAAAAGTACGTCTACAGTATTTTAATGCTCTTGATGTAATGCAGGGAATTTATAAGCATTATATTAAATGAGAGAATGTGTCTAGAAGTACATGTATTTCAATTTTTATGTAGACTCATCAGTACCAGTGTCCCAGGTACCCTGTGGTGTGCCCCAATAGGTGTGACCCCACAAAGATCCCCCGGGAGGACCTTGACCTCCACGTCTCAGAACTCTGTCCATCAGCTACCATTTCCTGTTCATTTAAAGAGGCTGGCTGTAAACACAAGGTAAGAGTTAACTCCCTTTTAAAGACTTGCTTGTCCAATTTCTTATAAAAAGAATAAATGAATCTATAAGAAATGAAAGAAAGAAATTCATGGGGAAAATGTCTCATAGACCTTTCTACAGCAATAAAGTAAAGAAAAAAGATTTATGTGAAATGAAATTAAACTAACATTCAAATTTTAAAACAATAATAAATCCTCCTGCTGCTAATAGCTGAGCTCATTGTTACGTTATGTTATATTAAACTCCTTGATATCCATCACCAATGACATTTCAAAACGTAAAAATTCAAAATCAAAGATCTTAACTTTTTTTTTGAAAGGGAAATTTCTACCAAGAAATTTCTGAACATAATGATTTGTGTGTTTGTTTATGCAGTGTCCAAGATTCAGCATGGAGAAGCACATAGCAGATGGTGTCCAGCATCACCTTAAACTCATGTGTGACTTATCCAAGACTCAACAAACTCAAATCACTCAACTGTGCAATGCATTATACTCACTCACACATATCACAGATGGTGAGTTCATCTGGAAAATCTCAAACTATAAGCAGAAATTCCTGGAGTCTGCATATAAAGGTGTAGAACTTGTCAGTGAGCCATTTTACACATCAAGGTATGGATACAAAATGGCTGCCTCAGTCTTCCTGAACGGAAATGGGGCCGGAGAAGGAAAATACCTTTCTGTGTACATAAAAATCCTCCCAGGTGAATATGACAACATTCTGGAGTGGCCCTTCTTGTTGCCAATTTCGTTTTCCATTTATGACCAGAATTTGGATTATGACCTGAGAGCCAACATTACAGAAAGCTTTGTGCCAGATCCTACATGGAAACACTTTCAGAAACCCATCAAAGACACAACTGCTCTGGGATTCGGGTACCCCAAGTTTGTGTCTCAGGAAGTTCTGAAAACCAGGGACTACATCAAAGATGACAGCATTATCATTAAAGTGAAAGTAGACAACTACAGAAATTGTATGTCTCCGTAATTACCTCTGTGAAAATCAAATGGACCAGTTATGATATTTATTTGTTGTCACCTTAGTACTTGTTTTGTTAGCAGTTGCAAAAATGTGCTATTCAGAATCTTTCTCATCTACTTTCTGTTATTTCTTGCCTTTAAAAATTGTTGTAGATATTACACCAAAAGTGTATGGAAGTTATATTATTCTCCTCCAAATACAGGAATGAAAGATGTGTCATTTAAATACTGACAAGTCATACATGTATAAGCTTAAATGATTGTTTAAGATCAATATGCTTTGAATGAATGTGAGAAAGATTGATTGTTATTCCATGGAGCATGATGACAATATATTAAATAAAGAATGGGAAAAAATGACTGAAGAATTTCATTTTAATACAATGGACAAAGAAAACTGAGGGAGGCACATTATGTATGGTAATGAGATGCCATAAATACTGATAAAAAATATAATGATAACTGAAAAGTTACAAATTATCATTAGATATGTGACATTAATGAGCTTTGTTTTCTTTTTATACCTTATGGACTGCAAGTTTATTTCTTTCACTAACTTTAAATATTTTGGTATGATCTGCTTCCGAAAAAAATAAAAAAGTATACTGTATTGCCAGAACTGTTCCAAAAAGGTCAGAATTCCATTAAAAAATTTCATTCAATATGTTGACAACATATAGAAGTACATTGAAACAACAATGTCTTAGAAGAAAAAAAGGCATGCTTATCGTAAACAATCGTCAATGTTGTCCTGCATTTGCTAAGTATGAACTTAAAATAGCATCAATCGAGTCTAACAATAGAATGAAAATTAAAATAATTTAATTTAATCAACATTAATATTGCTAAGATTGGATATTAAAAAGGCGTAAATGAGCGATCTTCCGGAAATATTTTTTATTACTTTAGACCATTGTTATTTCGAAAGGACTCGGATATTCTGCTCACGTATTTCGATCATTAGGCGGATGCAGTAAATGAATTAGACAGCATATAAAATTCAGATCACTTCTTACACCTTTCAGCTAATGATGCACATCTTCTATCTTTAAAATAATACGATTATAATAATTGCTAATGATTTAAGTTTAATGTGTGTCCTTGTTTGGCTAGGCATCTTTGGAACGGTTCCTTCTAAAGAAAACGGCTTCCACCTCGAGGCGGTTTCGCTAAATACTTTCTGGAAAATTGGAATATATTAAATAGATCATGATATTTGGCCGATAATTATGTACGCAATAGATGATCTATTTCACTTCAAACGATTAATCAACAAAAATACTGGATCTACACACTAGTAGATAGGCTTACAATTGGCATATTCTTTGGGATTTAACTTGAATGTGTTACTACTTTCGTTTAGCCCGGGATATATAAACATGGATAGACCGTTCCGATGGATGTGTTTAATGTGTTTATTTTTGCATTCATCTGGACAAAGCATTGCAGCGGTAAGGACCATTTTGAAGTTTCTTTTAAACTTAGTTTTGAAAAGCAAATCCTTTAAATTTACAAGCTTTATTTGGTTTTTGCGCAAATCCTTATATTGTTTAGTCTAATTTTCAACTGAATTAAAATTAAATATTTAAAATTAAAAATTGATAGAGGACTACAAAGTCGGACGATGCGATGTAACATACGAGCTCTTTCATTTTGTTTTCTCAGACAAACCAAAATTCTGCCCAAGGAACCTTTCCAAAGGCTTCAGGATTAAGTATGCCAATTCGTCACATAAATTCCCCAGCACAAAAAGGCGGGGGAAATGGGGCGCGCATTCCTGATCCTAGACTAGCAGCTCTGATGGGAACTGAGTTCCGCGGACCTGGAACTAAAACGAACCGTGGCAATTATTTGTCAAGAATGCCCTCCACTCAAGTGACTATGGCGCCAGGAATTCAGAGAAGCAGTTTAGGAAGCCCTTATCCCAACACAGCTTACAGTACTTCCCCTTTTCAGAGTACAGCATCCCATTATGCAGTTCATACCACTCCTTTCCCTAGATCGAGGACCTTACCACCTAAGAAACCGGTTGTCAGTAATGAATTTGTCCCACCAGCTCCAAAAAAGACAGCAATTCAGTTTCAAAAGGAACAGTTACGTTCAGCAATTCAGCCTCAAAAGGAACAGTTACGTTCAGCAATTCAGCCTCAAAAGGAACAGTTAAGTTATTCAGGTCAAAAGGAACAGAATAGCAATTCACCTTACAAACATGTACCGAATTCACGGAAAACTGTACAACCATTTGCTAATCAACAAAACGCCCATACTCCGCAACAAGTTCCACCAGGGAGGAAAGGACAGGAACAAACGTACAATAAACCAAACAGTGCAGCAACAATGCAACAAAAATTATCACATCCAATACAGATACAAACGTCCAGTGCTATTCAAAAATCTCCTTTTCGTAAGCAGCATCCATCTCCCAATCTACGAGGACAAACTTTGCCATCCAATGTTTTGCCAAATAAACCAACACCAAAACATGTTTCTTCAAAATATCAATATTCAAATACGCCATCTAGTGTCCTGCAAACTACTCCTCCTTTTCATAAAGATTCATCGTCGGTACCAAAAACGGGACGTACGCAGTTGTCACATCTGGGTGCCTTACAAGTTTCCCCTGTTTCACAGAAGGTAGCACAGAAAAGAATACATCCTGGACAAATTTCGTCATCCATTGTCTCGAAAATTCCGCCTTTTCACAAACCCAGAATGTCAAACAGAAATGAGCACACAGAAAAGTCGCCTACTTATATTATTAGACAGATACCAGAAGTCGTCCAAAATGTATTTCCACGAAAAAGGGAGCATATACAAATTTCATCTATTAATATTTTACGAAACTTGCCAGTCGATCATCAAATGGTGCCAGGAAGAGTGAATGATAAGCAAACTTTTCCATCTTATACAATACAAAATCCACAGGTTCCCCAACAAATAGCACCACAGAGAACAATGCCTGTGCAAACATCATCCTCCAACTTTCAAAATCAACCTGTTCAACAGCAGTGGATACAAACAGAAATGAAAAATACTCAGACATCACTAAATCCCCCACAAGATTTGCGTTTTACTAATACTGTGACTGACAAGAAAAGAGGTTTTGCAGAAGTAACATCAACAACTCCAGTTATGCAAACACAACCTATTCCTCAACAATCTTCACACTCCAACCCTTCGTACAATTCGTGGTCTAACTTGAATTCTCAAAACTTTCCTGTTTATAAGAATGTAGCTGCACGGAGAATGGAACCTCGGCAGATTGATCCATCATCACTATCCAATGCATTGTATAACTCACCTAATCCCACTCCGTCAGCCCCAGAAGAACATGAAACCTACACAACCTTTACCTTCAAAGTTCATACAAATTCAACCTATCCAACAACGCAAAGAACCAAGGAGAAACAATCCAGTTTACCAACAAGTACCGCCACGAAATAAAAAGAATTTACAAATTTCGACATCAAATATTGTACGACGCTTGCCAATCGAACATCAATTCATACCGCGAAAACCGAAGCATGGAAACATATCATATAAAACTTTGCAATATCCACGTGTACCCCAGCAGTTAGGTTCCGAAGGAATGAAATCCAAGAAATTCCCAACACCCAGTACATTACAAACAAAGCCTGTACAAAAAATGCCTTTACCTATACATTCTATGCAAACCGACCCTCCCCAAACAGCACCTCTTCCTATACAGTCTGTACAAACTCCTCAGACTTTGCTGAGAAAATCTATTACAGCTAAGTCACAAAAGCAGACACCTTTGGTGTACAATCAACAAACAGGTTTACCAGCAGACGGTAACGTGCAGTCAACAAGAGCAGAACAGCAAAAGGGTACAAAATCAAAAAAGAAGGTTGAACGAATACCTACAATAATCAATGGTAAAAAGTACATGATAGATCCACTCTTTGTTGATATTGTTAAAAGGTACATTTCAAAAGCAGGACTAAAAATGACAATCGGTCTTTCAAAAAATGTTATGCAAACTCTACCCAACAATAAACCTATGATTAGACAAAAAGTACCAAACCTTGGACACAAAATCTGACACAAAAATGAATTCAAACCAAGGAATATTGAATAAAATTAATAATTTTTCTCGGAGAGGAGAAGTAAAGACCCCAGCTCCAAGCACTAGGCACTTACAGAAGGATACTACAAATCCTTATATTCCACAGCCAAATACAGGTCGTGCGACAAATACTTTTATCTCACAGCCAACTTCCACACCAAGTACAAGGAAAATTGGTATCACAAGACAAATTCAAAACTGGAACCCACAAACTACAGTAATAACTGTTACAACCCCCAGCACGAAACCACCATTACTGCCCACAACGACCGCACCAAAGAGGAGAAAGGCACTACTTCTCCCATTCAGGAAGAGTCCTGTAAAACCAACAACAGCTAAACCGGTCACAAAATCAACATTAAGACCAACTCTTCCCTCTCAAATTCCACCAGCTCAGAAAACTACAAAACTTCCCAATATTGTTTTTAACACCCCAACAAACAAAATCAAAGGTCTTCTGTCCAATACTTTACAACCAACATCATCTCCCCGGACTCTGTTCAGCCGAAAAACCACAGGCCTTGCTCTTGATAAAGGTGTTACTCCTGTACCTAGTTTAACCAAGCCAACACTCAGATCTTCTAGTGGGTCGTTAGTAGGAACGATGCCGATTATTGATTCCCCGCCCAAATCAGAGACTCAACTTTCTAATCCTGTAAGTACGGGGAATAGTGCTGATAACATAGCAAACCCTGCAACCAATACCAGACCATCCGTTTCGAACGCTATTCTTCCAGGCCCTTATGTAAAAAGTGAATCAAATCAATTGTTATCCATTCCCGACAAACAAAAACTAAAAGCTAAGAAACAATCAAATAAAGATAAAAAGAATCAGATAAAATCAAAGAATTTCACAAAAGAAACCTCCTGTTAAAGTACAACTTGGATTTCATCTTAATCATTTTGGCCGCAAGAAATCTAAACAAGAAAAAAGTGACAGCCCGATAGACAGTGATGGATTCATACTCCGTGATATATATAGACAGAATGATGGATTGACTCATTCGAACACGGTTGGTGTCCACAGAGGATTTGTTGGGTTCAATAACGGAGGAAATAATGTTGAATTATTAGTTTTAAGATAGGTGTATAGGTTGGTAAATGATACCTAATATATATTTTTTCTGAGACTGATAATAAATAAAGTGGTATTGGTTAATAAAACATCAAAATAACAGTTTCCATTTTTTTATGGAAGCTTGTATGCAATGTACAAAGAATGTATAAAATATGACGTTTGATTATTAATACAGGAAGTACATGTATAATAA